AAATGTTCAAATAAATGCAATGCAATAAAACTTGACTCCTATCACAATTGACATTAAATTTGATTCTGAAAAGTGTAATAATATTATAAGAAAAAACATCAAGGCTTAATTAATTATAAAATGACAAACTTTTAGAGCTCTTACGTGTCTTCCAAGGTTGAATGAGTAGGTGATCTGATCAAAAGACTAAAAAATAAAACAAAAAATAAAGACTCATGGATATATCTGATAAAGAAATGCAAGAAATAGTACAAAGCACCCACCTTTCTTCATCTACAATAATACTRCCRTCAGCWGCAATCTTCACTTGAGGAGCACAAACATTACTCTCATCACCCCCCTCAGTCCTGTCTATTGTCTGTTGGTTGTTGGATTGATTTTCAGTATTGGCGTCATCGACCTCCATTCTATCATGACATGATAATAAACAAAATCTACGTAAATACAGYATTTTATCAGAATATACAATAAGACAGCAGCCACTGTGATTTGTTGTAGGATATTGATGCRGTTAAAATAAAAACATTTAGATACTAACGCATCTTCTGTTGATTGGCCTGCTTTCTGCTTCTGCTGTACGATCTTTTTATGCTTAGCATCACTGCTGGATCTGAAGACAATTCAAACTGATTTGTACTCGACTGTTTGCTTACTACATACAGTCACCTTGCCATACTACAAAAGTCATCTATTCCACAACATATACCATCTTGTCCATTGCACATAAACAGATTTCTCTCCTTTAAAGTATTGATCGTTTTCAACCATTCCCAGGAGATTCAAAAGATAAAAGACCGGCAGCCATGTTGGAGGAATGAACAATAGATACTAATGAGAAATTCTTTGTTGAGGTTCCTCCAAGATGGCTGCTGTGACGTATAGTGAAAACRAAGAATWTGTAACAGACCTTCTTAGGCTAAACAAAGCTTATAAGACTGATTATGTCTGTTTTTAAATGTCGTGATTCTGCAATAATACTTTATCTTTTCAATAGATTTCATTGGATTAATCAATCAATAATCCTTTGTAAGTATCAGGTCTTGAGGACAATATCACTTAATGAATAATTAAGTTTTAGAAGTTTTACTTACTTCATGAAGTTTTCTTTGGGATTGAAGTAAATAAGGTCCTGCAAAGTCATTTTTGATGGATCAAGCATTTCTTTTGGCTTCCTGATGGGAATTCTTTTCTTTTTTCCTTTTAACTTGAAAAAAAAAGTATTATATTATAAGTTAACCTTATAGATCTACTTACAAAATATTTAAAGGGTTTGATGTATGTGATCAGTATAGGCCTTGTACAAGATGATAACTGACATGTAGTCTTCCAGGGGTCAAACAACTTACACAGCCTACCTGTGATTTTTTATTTGTTTGCGGCTGTTCATTGTCTATGTCATCTTGTTCTTCATCATTATKAATAGTTGAATCTTGTTTTTCACCAGTCTGAACAGTCACTTCAATTAAACTAATGTCTTCTTCTACAACTTCTTCTTGTATCTTTCGTCTTTTGCTTGCTTTACTTGACAAATCAGTCTCGGGAATTTCCTGAAAGTAAAAATTAAGAATTAAGGGGATGTGTAGTAAAATGCTGTTACTTTCTTGGTTAAGTCACTTTTTTTCACAATGTCGAAAGTTTGTCTTCGGTACATCTTCGTAGCCAATCACATTCTGAATTGTATATCTGGTAGCCAATCACATTACACTGTGTATTCCGAACTCTAAAGGGCATGTGTCAACTCTGCATACAGGGTCTAGTTGTTGAGATGTTTAAAGAAAGTGTACACAGTTTGGAATTTATCATCAGCAATTAGTATTCTACATATGGCACATATGTAAGTAGCTGGCAATATGTAAATCTGTACCCACCCCTGAGGGGAAAAACCTGTAAGGAATTTCCCTCACAGGGAGGGAGGGGAGAGGAATCAATGAACACAGACCTCGTTTACAAACAATAACAAAAAGTTGACTGAATTATTCAATCATTGGTATTGCTACCTTTTCTACGTCTTCRTCATCGTCCTGCGGTTGAGGGTTTTCTGTGGGCATCTCACAGCTCTTATCTGCACTGTCACTGTCATTAGATATAGATGCCGCTCTCTTCTTTCTTGGAGGAATACAAATCTTAGGGGTTGCTCTCCTACGCCGAGATAGCGATGAACCAGTGAGTTGGGTTTTACCATCGTCGGTAGACTCCAYTRCACTAGTCTGTGACTCTACTGTTGTTGWTATCTCKGCAGGCGTCGTATTTGGTGAGACGTCAGGAGGAAGCRTTGTTGTTTCAATGTTGGTTTCAGCATTTTGCTTTTGTTGTGAATTATCTGAAATATTATGAMATTATGAAGTATCAGTATTTAACTTCATAAATACAGTACCTTGCAACAAATAGCTGTGAGAAATGTTGTGTGAAAACAACAAATGTTATTATCACGTACATGTAAGAAAATGTACCTTTTTCAATTGAATTTTCTGCTGAACACTCATCATGAGCAGTCCTTTCAACAYTATCATTAACTTCTTTAGTTTTTGCAGTATTTCTCCTTCTAGGTGCAGGAGTGACGACAGGTTTTATACGTGACCTTCTGGACGTTGTTTTTTTATCATTTGAAACTTTAGAGGATTTCAATTCAGCTGCTTTTTGTATATCTTTCTCTGTAGTTGTTTCTACTACCAGGACTTCATTTGTCTCTACAAGAAGCATGAAAAAAAAACAAAACATTTATTTCCAAGAAGTCAAAATTGAGATACTTAAGCTTATCTAAGTTAATAGCAAACAGTCTTTAGCACTTTTTGTACCTTCTATTGTTTCATTTTCTTCACAAACACTGTCTTCAATAGTTTTAGAACTATTTGGTGGTATAAAAGGCTCATTATCTTGTCGCTCGTTATTATCATTGATACTCTTTTCATTGGAACTGTTTGGTTTTGTCGTAGAGCTTGAGGTGCTGGAATTTGAGGTCCTCGAACTTCGAGTTCCTCTTGAAGTAATATTTGGTTTAAAACGCTGTCTCATTGTTTAAAAGCGCTACCAAAATACTCAAAAGTAAGTAAATACATAAACCACGTCGCTCTGCAGAGTATATTAGCTTGCTTTAGCCCATTTTTGAATGATTTTTATCACCGCTTTGTGTAAACTTGGAAGAGCTTTGACGTCCAAAATTGACAGGCTTTCTTCAATTTACAACCCAGTCTATCTCGTTCAACAGGAAACCCAATTYGATTAATTACAAAACAAGCATGTTAGAAGCAAAATGGAGGGCGCTAAATCGATTTTAAAGCTTTTCTTGTTTATCTACATGACGGATTATGTTAAATCAGCTCATATCTTGGGATTCCCAAACATTGGAAAGAGCCACGGGTTTGTTTTTATGAAAATTGGTGGTGAACTTGTCAAGAGAGGGCATCGTTTTTCTCTTGTTATTCCTTCTGCACTAGAGAACGATTTGAAGCCCAAAGAATTTACAAAAGGACTCGAAGTTGTGTCYTTTGATTCTAACTTTACACAAGAGGTTCTGGAAAGCCTGATGATGAAACTGAGCCGAGGTATACTACGGGAATATTAATAAATAATATTTCTTCCTTTGAAATAACTGATATCAGTAAATTCATTATTTAAGTTATTAATTATTCAGCATAATGTATCTTGTTTTAGGTGAGATGGACATGGAAGAGAACATGGAACTTTGGATGGGCGAGTGCGAGGACTCACTAAAAAGCAACATTTACACCAAAAAGCTCCAAGATGCCAACTTTATATTGTGTGACATTGGATTGATATGTTGCCCCCTYATTGCTGATCAACTTGGCATCCAACGTGTGGACATYTCACCAACTGGTTTTAACGACCCATTTTTAAGYATTATCCATAACTTCCCAGCATCCTTAGCYCACATTCCACAAATGCCTTACTTACTTATACCCACCACACAGTCGTTTTTTGGTAGAGTTCAGAACTTTATACTTTATGGCTTGGGGTATATGATGTATTACCTTTACCTGGATACAGCTTACACAACACTATGGAAAAAATAYKCGCCCAACTCAAAATTTGCAAACTTAGAGGAGTTATTTCGCTCAACTGGTTTGCTACTTGTTCCAACAGACTTTGCACTAACCAGGCCTCGTACACTTGCAGCGCATATGAAGATTATAGGTCCAATACTTCCTGAGCCACCCAAACCATTGCCATCCAGTTTCCAGGAAGTTATATCATCTGGACCATTTCAAGATGTGGTAATAGTATCATTTGGCACTGTTATTTCCAACTTTGGAGAAGACTTTGTGGAAACGCTTGCATCAGCTTTGAGTGAGATTCCAGCCACTGTGATATGGAAGCACAAGGGAAAAATGCCAGTCAAAGTTGGACATAATGTCAAGATTGTTCCATGGTTTCCCCAAAATGATTTGCTGGGGCATTCTGCTATTAAG